TTATTACATTTGAAATATGGATATTTATCTTACAAAAATGCATGGATTCGCTACAGGAGGCCTTTATTCACCCCCCGGAGCCGTGTGAGGGACGTTTTATTACGGATGCGCGTGCTTTATTTCACGTCTTCTGAACTGTTGACAACCAACACCCGCTTACCCCCATTGAAAGACTTGGAGGGGCCTGGACAGTTTTTAATATAACTCCAATTGGATTCATCTGAAAGAAGAAAGTCACATACACCTAGGATGCTTCGAGGGTGAGTAAAGCACAGGCTTATTTTCATTTTTGGGTGAACTAACCCTTTAATGTTCCTCAGCAGTCATTATAGAGAATGAAGAAAAACACCAACCTGTTTGTTGAATTCTCATGTGCACATTTGGTTCTTCTTTGACAAAGGAACCCGTTCCAGACTGAGTGCAAGTATAAGGCTTCTCTCCAGTGTGAGATCTCATGTGCACATTTAGTTCTTCTTTGTCAAAAAAACCCTTTTCACACTGAGTGCATGTATAAGGCTTCTCTCCAGTGTGAACTGTCATGTGTCTGTTACGGTTTGTTTTCTGACTGAAACCCTTTCCACACTTAGACAGATTTGTGAACAATATTTGAGAGAAATAGGCCTTTTGTGTACATAGAAAAAGTCTTAGATCTTTGAGTTCAGCTCATGAAAAATGGGGGCAAAAACAAAAGTGTTGCGTTTATATCAAACCAAAAATTATTCAGACACCAGATATAAATTTTTGATATTTTTTACTAGTGGGTGCAGGACACTATAGTTCAATTATGTAAGTGAGGATAACAAAATAAAGTAAACGGTGACATATATTACCCAAAAATTCTTTATTCAGTGGACTACCAGTAAAATTTATAAAAAATTGGGACCAAAAATTTGATTTGACACTTTGAGCTGACCATGTTTTGTTACATACCTTTCTATCAAAGTTATCTGACATTATCAAGATTAATTTGTTCTGACACAATTTTAACACTTGAGTTCTTGTCATATTTTATTACATATACAGTAGTCAACATTTGAAGTGGATTAAAAAAGTTCATCAAAGTTGTCCTAAGACAAGAACGGGTATTGTTTTGGTTTTAGGACAACTTTGATGAAAGGTTTTGATCCACTTCAAATGTTGTCTACTGTAATATATATATATATATATATATACACGTGTGTGTGTGTGTGTGTGTGTAAATATAAATATATATATTTCAGTTTTTATCTTAATGTTCCTCAGCAGTCATTATAGAGAATGAAGGAAAACACCAACCTGTTTGTTGAATTCTCATGTGCACATTTAGTTCTTCTTTGACAAAGAAACCCTTTCCAGACTGAGTGCAAGTATAAGGCTTCTCTCCAGTGTGAGATCTCATGTGTCTGTTACGGTTTGTTTTCTGACTGAAACTCTTCCCACATTGAGTGCATGTATAAGGCTTCTCTCCAGTGTGAACTGTCATGTGTCTATTAAACTTTGATTTCTCACAGAAAGTCTTCCCACACTGAGTGCATGTGAAAGATCCTCTGGCTCCAGTTTTTCCAGCTTGTGTTTGTGTAAAATTCTGTTCAGTCTGTGAAATGACTGCATTTCCATCTTCCTTTTTAAAATGATGAGGTTTTTCAAACTGATGCTGCTTGTCTTCTTTCAGTCCCATCGACTCTAAAATCAACATAGGCCTATTAATTTCCCATATACTTCAAATAAAGAATAACAAATTAGAAACAAAACAAAATATAAGTTAACCCTTAACTTAGTACAAATCTAGTTTGTCTACTAGAATCTAGTTTTAGATGCAACATTTATTCAGACACGTCAACATTTCTCACATTATCACAGTTTATTCGCTATAGTTTAGAAAATTGTAATAAAATATGAGAAGAACTCAAGTGTTAAACTGTGTCAGAACAAATTAATCTTGATAATGTCAGATAACTTTGATAGAAAGGTATGTAACAAAACATGGTCAGCTCAAAGTGTCAAATCAAATTTTTGCTCCCAAAATGTTATAAGTTTTTCTGGTAGTCCACTGTATTAAGAATTTTGGGGTATAATATATACATTTTTATTTTGTTATCCTCACTTACATAAATGAACTATAGTGTCCTGCACCCACTAGTAAAAAATATCAAAGAATACACAAACCTGTTTGTTTCTCTGTATCTTCGTCTTTCATTCTGCAGGGTTCTTCACCGCAAGAGCTGAATGAAACAGTACAAAAATGCGCATTAAAGTCTAATCCATAAACACTCTCTCCACTACAATATTATAACATACTCAGCGAATTTCACAAAATATTTGTTATAACGAACAGTAGACAAATATATACACACCTTATGCCTTTTCGGGGGTTCTGAATACACTTACAAAACCGTCTTTCCGTGAACGAGTTCTGATCAGCCGTGATGACGCGTGGCTCTCTAGAACCTTTGGACAAATAAGCGTAACAATGTAACAATGTTGCCGCTGCTGCTTTGGCTGTATTTTTATACAGTCTATGGCTGTATGCAGGGAAGGAGACCAAAGTCGTTTTTTGAATGGATGTCACTGGAGGAGAGGCTTCACTACGCTGAATAAACAGCTTTTGTTAGGAAACAGTTATCAATTAATGAATTGACAGCCTATCGGCTAATCTTCAAAAAAAAAAAAAGCCATTAAACAATAGGTTTGAGATGAACCAAATGTGCGCAGAACTGGTCACCGAAAGATGCATGCCGCGCAGGGTTGCCATATTTTCACTACAAAACCCGCCCAAAATTGCTGTAGCCTTCGGATAAGGGCCACCCGGTAAAAATCGCGTTCCAGGGGTAAAATACACGTTTTTTTTGGAGGGGTTCCCCTACATATTTTAAAATGTAATTTATTCCTGTGATTTCAAAGCTGAATTTTTAGCATCATCACTCAGTCTTCAGTGTCACATGATTCTTCAGAAATCATTCTAATAGCCTATGCTGATTTGCTGCTCAAAAAAAATTATTATTATTATTATTATTATTATGCTGAAAACAGCTGAGTAGAAAATGTATCGAGTTTAGATTAAAAAAATTTAGTGCATCCTCGTTTCCTTTCCTTGCGTCCTTCCCTCGCATCCTGAAGGGGTGGAGCTAAAACGCGAGGAACGGAAGTGAGGAAAGGAAACGAGGATGTACAAATAAGAATTGAGAAGCACTCTGTGAGTAGGCCTACATTCATTTTTTATCTATTGGTAAAAAATACATCTGACAACTTATAATTGCATTGAGCTCGACCAGTGTCCGATTCACGAACTAATGAGTTATAAGAGTCGGTTCATTTCAGTGAGTCAAAAATGGTTACAGAATCAATTCGACTCAGAGATTGAATTGTGAATTATAACTTTCGTCATGTGCGAATTGAAATGAAAAAGGAAAAATGTATGAAGCACGATACTCACTAGTAATTTACATGACAAAGTGTAAATGTATCCATCTATTTAATGTGACCCATTAACGTATGGACGCTTAGGCTAAATAGTTAAATGCCCATATCAGTGGTTTGCAAACTCTTCCTTTGTCTTTACTTCTCACACATTCACAGGTTTAATGGATGTCTGATTACAGAAATCAACCCTCATTAATAATCTTTCAGCTTCACTCTGAGCTGCTGTGAGAATTGAAGAACTGATTAACAGTGCTGGAAATCTAGAACTCATTTCTGATTGTAAATAATTACACTTTTGAGAATATAAAGACTAAAAACCCGTTTACAAAATAAGTTATGTACAGTAGATGAACAAAACACACAAATTTGATATTTGTCATTATTTAGAGTCTGGATGAAAGTAAGTGTTTAAACAAATCTCTGTCTCATCATTCGTTCATACATCCCATTTGTAACTATTTCAAGTGCACCCTTAGTTAAAACTGTGATGTTAAACTTAAAGTTTAATTGTTAAACTATATGTTATTTTATAAACTTTGTATAAACTTGTTTTGATTAAATATCAACAATGACATTATACCCATTGCAATACAATATAGTCACAGTTTATTCTATTTTCTGTTCTAACTGAGATTATTTCAGTCATTGTAAGCAGATGGTGGTGATTGAAGTGAAATGTATATTTATGTCTGTTTGATGATTTAAATACATTCTATTTTACTAGTATTTAATTGATTTTGGTTTATCATTTTTTTTCTGTTGTAAAAATTACAATAAATACAATTGTTTCTAAATGACTATTTGATTAAGACACTTAAAGCTGGATGATTGAGAGTGATTGTGAGTGTTTGAGCATCTGCTAAATGAGCTCCATTGACTCCTTCAGTGAAGCCGCTCCACAGCCGTTCATGAGAGTTTAAATGCTGGAGAATATTCCCATCTTCCCACAGCTGAAGAAGAAGCAAGCAGGAGGAATTACTCCAGGAGAAACTACTGACATACTGTTGGAAAGATGGAGTTTGAGGAAGAACCCTGCAGAATGAGAGATGAAGATACAGAGAAACAAACAGGTTGGTGTTCTCCTTCATTCTCTTTAATGACTGATGAGGAACTGACAAAAAAAAACTGACAATTTTTTCCCCCTAAATTTTGACCATGTTGAGTTGTGACTATACAGGTGCATTAAAAAAAATATATATATATATTTTTGGTAAGTTATACATTTTCATATATTCTAGATTCATTACATTTCAAAATTTGTTTTGTTTTAATTTTGATGATTAAAGCTCAAAATATTAGAATATTTCCTAAGATCAATCAAAAAAAAGGATTTGCAAAACAGAAAAGTTCAAGTTCTTTAAAGTAAGTTCATTTCTGCACTCAGTACTTGGTCGAGGCTCCTTTAGCACAAACTCCAGCATCAGTGAGGAGTGGCATGAAGCGGTCAGCCTGTGGCTCTGCTGGGGCACTGTTGAGCCTTCAGCTCGGATCCACTGTTTCCTTTCTTTCTCTTGAAAATATCCCATAGACTCCATATGGGCTTCAGGTCAGGCATGTTGGCTGGCCAATCAAGCACAGTAATATCATGGTCAGCAAACCACTTGGAAGTGTTTTTGGCACTGTGGGCAGGTGCTAAGTCCTGCTGGAAAAGGAAATCAGCATCTCCATAAAGCTTGTCAGCAGATGGAAGCATAAAGTGCTCCAAAATCTCCTGGTAGACGGCTGCATTGACTTTGGACTTGATAAAACAATGGACCAACACCAGCAGACGTCTCAGCACCCCAAATCATCACTGACTTCAGAAACTTCACACTGGACTTCAAGCAGCTTGGATTCTGTGCCTCTCCACTCTTCCTCCAGACTCTGGGACCTTGATTTCCAAATGAAAT